ATAGTAGGTGTCAGAAAAGTAATTTGATTTTGTCATCACAGGCTACATGTTATTCACATGCCAACACATGGCAAGGACTCACCAGCTCTTAAACCAATGAGGTCCTGAGTCTCCAGACTGCTTAAACAGCAACAACCGCCCCTCAGTCTCCCCACATTCAGCTCTACCAGCTTCATCTGCAAGGCAAAAGAGTAGGATGTAAAAAATAAGATAGAAAATGATACACATTTAAAAATCAATGGACCCTCATGAGAAAATTAGAGTGCCCATTAAGCCCCAATAAGAGGCGTAGGACAAGTTGGTGTGGCCTTACTGTTAAATATTAATAAATAATTACATTATAAAGTGTTTTGTGTCATACCTATTTTCAGCTTTGTCAAAAGTGTGAAGGAAGTTACTAGGATGCTCCTCAAAGTGTTACCAGTCCATCATATCCTTTTATTCATTCACATTTCTGTTTGGGATGCAGATCAACTCACGGTTTCTCTTTTCCAGGGAGGGCCATCTTAAAGGCAAATTACTTTTGTTTCTCCATTTCAACCTTCATGCAAATCGTCCAGGTGCAGCAGGCCTCCATGTGACTTACTGGAAAGAACGAATGGAAAAAAAAAAAAAGGTCAGGGTAATGAATATATTCCAGCAGCACCAGTTTTAACCTTTTGTGATTTCATTCCAACACAATAACTTTAATTTAAAACACCATTTAATGTGCATACGTGATGGGTCTTTGACCTGCCATTTATACTGTGTTAAGATCAAGAACTAACTCCCATGCTTGTATCGATAATAGTATAATAGACCAGATTTGAATAGAGTCTAAAGATTTACATAGTCATTATGCAACACCACATTCTTATAAAAAAGGACATTTACACTAAGTTCGGGCTGAAATGTGACCCAGCCCAGACTTGTTTTGTGGACAAATGTAACAAGTAGGATTAGTTACTTTAAAAAAAAAAAAAAAAGAAAGAGTTAAGTTAATATTAAAGGGAGGTGGAAGCACCACGTGGCAGGCCTGGCCCTTGCAGGACATCCACGTGTTGCCGTTCATACCAACGTGGTAAGTTAAAGGTTAGCATCTACGGTTAGCATACAAGGTCCTCCGCATGTTAGCAACACGATACTCACTTTATTCACCGGTCAGGTTTCTTTCAGCTCGGTTCTCTTTGGAGGCAGGGCCTTAAAGTTAGTAAGAAACCGCTGAACGAGGCAGCGAGTGTGCATCTCTCCTTCCATGCTGCATGCGGTGGTGGTGACGGACCACAGACTGCCGAGAAGTACTGACGCGCCAGAGGAAATGTACTTATACGGCTTCCGTATAACGGAAGTCCATCCCCTTTCTGGGCTAGCTAGTTAGGCTGGTTAGCTTAATGGCTAACTGCTAGCTTGCTAAGTTTGTCGGACTTTCTGTGAAGTGGAGACATTATTGTCGGACTCCTTGGCCATGTTCGTGCTTATTGGGGCCTTATTGATATACTGGGCAATACTAACTGAACAAATAGTCAAACAAAGGTAGAACAACGGTGATTGTATTAGCATTGAACAACAACATCTATCATTCGACGAAGAAGCTACTCCAAAGGCCAACTGGTTTGGGTTAGGGCTAGTTCAGATTAAGGCAAAACGTAGCGCTACATCATACAATTTGGTCTAAAATCCTCCAGTAGAGACAGGATAACAACCCAACTCCATTCTGTTTTATAGGATTTTAAAAGCCACTTAATTGGAATTCAGTTATTTAACTGTCCAATTATATTTGCTGTAGTTAGTATATCTGTGCATTGTAGTGTGCATTTTTCTTTTTTTAATCTAAAACTGTCAACATATTAGATATTAAGTCTAAATAATATTGGAGATAGCCCTGAAAAATCCCATTATATTTAATAATTGTAGAATGTATACTCCTTATGTAATTTAAAATGTAATATATTGCCAACCTAACTATACTCAGCTTTTCTGACTGAATGGAAAAATGTGGTGGCTAAGGGTGTTATTAATGTAAATATTGGGGTTGCTGAAGAGAAAAAGTCTCAAAATAGTTTCTGACAGTTCCTAAAAAAAGAGTTCTAATATAACCACACTTCAAGAGTCACGTAAGGTTTAATTTATACATTTATTCTGATCACAGCTGTACAGGAATGCATCGTCACAGCAGAAACACAACCTAAACCCAACCATGGCACAACAGCCGTCACAACACATCCAGAACTCAACCATAAATGTACAGGCTCAATCAGCTCACCTCAATTCAATGTCTATAATTATCATCATTATTAGTATTCACATAGAACCATCTGTCTCTCAAATATATCTTTGTTTTTAAAGAGCATAAAAATACAAGTGGACTCTTCATTGGGATGAACACTGGTGGTTGATCCACTGTCTGGTCTACATGGGGGACCACTGAAAACTGGGGAGCCGAGGAGGAGCAGAGCCAATTTATTACAGCGTACAGGGGCCTCGTACAAGGCTTCTCAATGGTTACAGGAGGACTGCAGACAGGGTGATTGATTTTAGGGGATCACATTGGACTCACAACTCAACCCTTATAAGCTACTTTTGACATAACAGACACATAAGGAGCGAGGTTTCGCAAGGAACCAGGAAAAATAATAACATTAAAGATGTTTGAATGGAAAACAAAAACAAAAAAAATCAAATAATATTTTGAATATATGAACAAACACTACCAAGGCACAGAGAGATGCAGAGTTAACAAAACGGACACAGAGGGAGATAAAAAAAAAAGGAGGGGAGACAAGATATAAGGTGGGCAGATTAGAGGCAGTTTCACTAACCAACACTAGAGGGAGCTCTAACAGCTGAAATACCCAGGTATATTATAAACTATGTATACTGGATGTACTATATAAAGCATTGAAATATAGGATTATCTTTTAAAAACACTGTTCACTGCAGCAGGACAAAAGGATACACCGCATGAGTGTGCTTGTATATATGTGTCTTTGCATGTAACTGTATGTAAATGTGGAGAGTCATTTCCAAGCAAACCTCCATAGATGGAGCTAAACACCAACAAAGCAGAACACCAGCAAGATTAAAACCAATGTAGTGTGGGTGCGCGTTTGTGTGTGCGAGTGTGTGTGTTTGTGTGTGTGTGCGAGTGTCTCAAAATCCATGGACACACATCTATATTGTCGTTCTGATCATTAGAATAACTACTGTACGAGTGGGAGGACATTGACATGAGCATCAGCAGGGACTACACACACTCGTAACGACAACAACGGCAACAGTAACAACAACAGCAACAACAACAACATGGAGAGAGACAACACACAGGTCAGGAAGTCCGGCTAACCACATTCCTCCGCTCATACAGAAGAGAAACAGAGGCTACAATTTGTCTGGAAAAACACATCCTTTTGACATCGCAGGGAGTGGGACAGACTCAGAAAGCGGCCTGTCTTTCAATGTGCTTTTAAAAACTCTCTCTCCGGTTATCTCATCTGTTTGCATCTTGTCTATCTATCTATCTATTTATCTGTCTGCCTGTCTGTCAGTCAGTGTGTGTGCTTATTTTTTGTTTTTGCAAGCAATATGCTTATCGGTTTGCCTCCCTTTCTGACTGAGTTAGCATCTCTGTCAGAGTCTGTAGAGATAGAAGGATGAGGAGAATGATTGTGCTTCTGGGTCCACACAGCCGTCTGAGGCCGGGCGGCAGCGGCGGTGGCGGCGGTGGTGACTCGCTGGGCTGCAGAGGTCAGAGGTTGTGTGGGAGCAGCCTCCTCGCATCTGGAGGCGTGCTAGAGCTACTGCGCCAGACGAAGAGGACTCCCTCCTCAGTATTACTGTACAAGGCTACATGAGAAGCGCTCACGCACACACACACACACTCTTAGAGCGCCAGCATCGAGCCTTGGGAGAGTTTTCTTGATACACCTACACATGATTGGGGGGGGGGGGGGGGGGGG